TTGCTTTATTCAACTTTTGTTTGGAAGATCTGTCCAGTGGTGAGAGAGGTGTGTTAAAATCACCCATGATTATTGTGTTGTGGTCTTTTTGACTCTTGAACTTGAGAAGAGTTTGTTTGATGAACATCRCTTCACCATTGTTTGGGGCATATACATTAATGATTGTTATGTCTTGTTGGTGTATGGTTCCTTTGAGCAGTATGTAGTGTCCTTCTTTATCCCTTTTGATTAACTTTGGCTTGAAGTCTATTTTATTTGATATGAGTATAGACACCCCTGCTTGCTTCTGAGGTCCTTTTCCTATCAGATGAGTCTCCTGTAGGCAGCATATTGTTGGATTTTTTTTAAATCCAATCTACTAGCCTATGTCTTTTGATTGGTGAGTTTAAGCCATTAACATTTAGGGTTACTATTGAGATATGGTTTGTATTTCCAGCCATATTTGTTTATTTTTGTTATTTAACTTGATTTGTTTTTACTCTTTGATTAGTTTTTCCTTTACTGTACTACTTCCCACTGTTGGCTTTCATTGTTATTTTTCATTTTCTCTTCATGTAATGTTTTGCCAAGGATGTTTTGAAGCACTGGGTTTCTAGCTGCAAATTCTTTTAACTTTTGTTTATTTTGAAGGTTTTTATTTCATCTTCAAACCTGAAGCTTAATTTTGCTGGATACAAGATTCTTGGTTGGAACCCATTATCTTTCAGCGTTTGAAATATGTTGTTCCATGATCTTCTAGCTTTCAGAGTCTGTGTTGAAAGATCAGCCGTTAACCTAATTGGTTTACCCCTAAATGTAATCTGCTTCGTTTTTCTTGTGGCTTTTAAAATTCTCTCCTTGTTCTGTATGTTGGGCAACTTCATTATAATGTGTCTTGATGTGGGTCTCTTGTGATTTTTGCACATTCGGCGTCCTGTGGGCTTCTGGGATTTGGATTTCTGTTTCATTCTTCATGTCTCGAAAGTTTTCTAATATTATTTCATTAACAGATTGCTCATTCCTTTGGTTTGGACCTCTATACCTTCCTGTATCCCAATAACTCTTAAATTTGGTCTCTTCGTGCTATCCCATATTTCTTGGATGTTCTGTTGGTGTTTTCTTATCAGTCTTGCTGTGCTATCTACATTCCTTTTGAGATGATACACTTCATTGTCTGATGTTCTATCTTCTAAGTGTTCTACTCTGCTGGTGATACTCTCATTTGAATTTTTAATTTGGTTTATTATTTCCTTCATTTACAGGATTTTTGTTTGTTGTTGTTGTGTTTTTTTGTTTTTTGTTTTTCTTAATAACCTCTATCTCCCTGTGGAGTTGATCTTTTGCTTCTTGGATTTGTTTATGTAATTCCTGGTCAATCCTGAAATCTTTATCTAACATTCCTTCTGCTGCAGATGTTACCTCTTCTATATGTTGAATTGTCCTGTATCGTTTGTGGTCCTTTTTTTCCTTTTCTTTTAATACTGTTCATGTTTCTTTCCAGCTCTGTGTGACTGTTGTGTTAATGTTTTCCCCCTGTATATTTATATTGCTCTTGATAGTTCCAAAATCTCTCTGGTCAGCCACAGAACTGCACTGGTAGCCACACCAACTGATAGATGGTGAGTAAGGTTTTCCAAGATGGATTCCATCTGTTTCCTGCTTAGGGTGTTTGGTGAGGTGGAGGGTGCTGGGGTGACCTTGTGCTGTGTCCACAGCTCTATCTGGTGACCCACAAGCAAAGCCTCTGCATTCTGCGCCCTGAACTTAAGCTTCTGGATGACCATCCACTCTTCCTGGGCTCACAGAGAAGGCCTATAGCAGTTCTCTTTCCTTGGCATCCTCTAGCATGGAAGTGGGGAGAGATTTTCACTTACATGGTGCTTTTATTTATAAAATTGTTGCACTGAGAAACTCCAAACCTGGTTCCAGCAGTCCTCTACCACATAGACAGGAGCCCCACCACAAGAGCTTCCTTCAGGCTGCAAGATGGATGGGTACACGAGCATGGAGCAGAAAGATTATTTTAAAGGAAGAGCAATATCTTGGTCAAATGAGCTATAAGCCATTATACAAAACAAATGAACACATTTGTCCCTCCATAGATTTGGGAATAGGAAAAGAGAATGAAGAGATTTATTTGGTAGTGTCAAAGAAGAACTGAATGAAAGATTTCACCGTGGATGGCCAAGAAGTTAATGGTTTCAGTTCAGAACATATTTTTAATTATTAGAAATCTAAAAATGGTGGGTAGAATAAGTATTTAACATCATTAGATATATATGCCAATATTGGTTCTATGTAAAATTGAAGTTGGAAGAGAATTTGACAATATCTCCAACATGACAATGTTCTTAGATTTTGAAATTCCCACCTATAGTGATAGGTGGGAGAAAGTGGGGAAGAATAAGGGTGACAGTAAATATGTTTGTATTTACAATTTTTGAAGCTCAAGTTGTCAGTATGAAGACTTTATTATAACTCAGCATAAATTTCATCTGGGAAAAAAGCCCACAAGACAAATTGGACTGAATGCCTTAAAAGTGCTGATCAAAACATGAGTGAAGTATTTCAGTAAGACGAGAAAAGTGTTCTCAATATGTAGTTTAAACTGCAAGTTAAGGTGATGTGAACCTGACATATGTTGAGCTGTTTTTCAGTTCAATAACATTCCCAGGCCCTTGCTTAGCATCCCCTTTTCCTTCTTTATAAAAGAGGTAAAATGCATTAAAACTCAGTAGGATCTATAGATTAATTTATATGTGCTCAAATTGGCCCCTGAGAACATTTATTTAGATTAATATTATTCAAAAATTGTATTGAGAAACAGAAAGTGATAATTTGCAAGAGAGCTTGCTTATAGTGAAGAATCTGGATGATTGGAGGATTATCTCATCTTGCTCCTTATTACCCTGTAAAGGCAATTTTTCAGGGTTAAAATTAAGAACTAGATAACTCTTTGAAAATGATCGTGTTCACTGAAATTCATATTATGCAAATTGCATTTGAGATAGCTGAAATCAATAGTAAACAAGGCTTGAGTTATCAAAATAGCAATTATGAAACAGATTTTATCTATCCTATTGTGTAATTTAATATTTCTGCAAGATTCAGTGGAATGAGAACATATAATTACTTAGGTTTCTCCAGAGGATTTTTTTGGAGGGGAGTAGAGGGTGAAGATAAATATCTGTTGCTATAGAAGTAAGTAATGACTTTTTCAAAATTTTGGTGATAACATAAAAAGTGTGAGGCATTGGAATTATGTAGAAATTTCACTTAACCCATATGAATTTCTCTTTTAGTAAAAAATTGTGCTGTGGCTGAAGTTAAATCTTTGCAAAATTAGATTGTGTRGAGAGATCAATTCTCCCATGCCTGAGATAGCAGAGCTACCATTTTCAGAAATTATTTGAATTCATGGAATTTTTATTTTTATTGGAGCTTTTTATTGGCTCGCTGCAACATGAGAAAACTAGGGATAAGTGTAATGATTTTTTTTTCCCCCAGCAGGGTTTGAACCCAGGGGCGCTTAACCGCAGAGCCACATCCCCAGCTCTTTTTTGTATGTTTTTTAGAGACAGGGTCTCACTGAGCTGCTTACTACCTGGCTAAATTGCTGAGGCTGGCTTTAAACTTATAATACTCCTGCTTCAGCCTTCCAAACCACTGGGATTATAGGCATCAGCCAATGTGCCTGGCTGAATTATTTTTAATACATATGAATTTATATAAAATTTATAAGTTAGAGTCATGTTCTTTGATTATGTACTCCCCACTTGGTTGATATTTAAAACATCTTTCCTTATTTTTAAATATATGTTAGTTTAAAGTGCCTTTGGCAATGTAAAATTTATTGACTCTATTTTGTGTTGCCTGTTTTTTGGTAAAGTTTCCCAAACAATGAAAGTCTAGAAGTCTGGAAATCACTAGTAAAATTGGTATTGAACCAAATTTGAAGTCTCAGTAATTTAAAAACAAAACAAAACAAAATATATATATATATATATATATATATATATATATGTGTATATATATATATATATGTGTGTGTGTGTGTGTATATATATATATATATATATATATATATATATTGAACAAAGTTCCATCCAGATCAATAATTAAAACTAAAATCACAAGTTTTCAAACACTGCCAAAGAATTTGAATATACATGGCCTAGGAAAAATTGATATGAAGAACAGAGAATATATTTTCTTCACCTTGTATGAGTGTCATTTCTGGTATTATTTCTGTGGGGAGGGGTAATGGAGATTGAACTCAGGGGCACTGGACCACTGAGCCACATCCTCTATATCATATGTTATATTTTATTTAGAGACAGGGTCTCACTGAGTTTTTTAGCACCTCGCTTTTGCTGAGTCTAACTTTGAACTCTAGATCCTCCCGCCTCAGCCTCCTGAGCCACTGGGATTACAGGCATGTACCATACCAGCATCCTTTCTGAGAATCTATTTGTGGACAAAGAGAAAGTTAGATTCCCTAGGCCCCATGTTAAAATCACTCAGTGCCCTTGGTTTTAGAATAACTGATATACATAAATCATCCTGATTTTTGTTTCTCAGTGATTTGAAGTTAATTTTCTGTATTAAGCTAAATAAAATGGGAAATTTTTTTGAAATCTTAGTCTCTTTTTTAAAATTTTTTTAGTTGATCATGGACATCCATCTATCTATCTATTTATTTATATGTCATGCTGAGAATGGAACTCAGTGCCTCACACATACTAGRCAAGCTCTCTATCTCTGAGCCAAAACCCCAGCCCTAAAATAGTCTTTTTCAGTTCTTTTCATTAGTACTACTGTTGTGTGTATATATTTTTAAATGTCATAAAAAATACCCTATTAGAAAGACAAACCAAAAAATAAAGCCTACCAGCTTAATGTCAAACTTTTCAAAGACATTTACAACATACCTTAGGGATAATATGTGAAGGGGCAGTTATTGTTGAACAATCTCTTTAAACCTTCTGAGCTGTTTACATTGTGTTCTGTTTCTTTCCCAGTGAGAAAAAGAAAGAAAAAGAGCGTGAAGAATTATGGAAAAAATTGGAGGATCTGGAGTTAAAGAGAGGTCTTAGACGTGATGGGATAATTCCAACTTAACAAAAATATGACAGCAACATTACTAACCTGTGGAGTCACATTTATGTAGTAGAAGATGGAGCAACAGTTTTCTGTATTGTGCAACTTTACAGTAGATTTCACATTTGTTTCATTATTACAACAGCACTGTATATACCTGTCTGTAAGTAAAGGAAAAAAATAAGGACTTCAATCCAAAGTTTGGACAGTAGATGGACTTCTCAGAACTTTGCAAACATAATCATTGTTCTAACCCTCTTACAAAAAAAAAAAAAAAAAAAAGCAGTCTTCAAAGATCTGTTGATGAAATTGCTATGTTAAAATTCCATTATCAGGAGTTCTTATTTATCACTAGCAGAGAGTATGATACAATTTTCAAATGTGAACAATCTTAAATTTAGCTTGTCTTTCTGCTAAGCTGTTAAATGTATTTATAGTAAAGGAAGAAAAAAAAAAAGACTGTCATTTCCTTATAAGTTTGTATAACATCTTCCTCTGGATAACTTGACTGTAATTTGACATTTTTCCTTTTGCACATCTTCATGAGTTGAATGTCCATGTGGAATGGGACCCTGAATTTTAAAGGTCCCGGATGAAAGTTTTGTCTGCTGGGGTGAACATCTTTCCAGTAACCAGGTAGTCCTGGTACTCCTTTAGTTTTAAAATTAGGAGTAAAAAGAGAAGAGGTGATAAAGATAGTAGGGAAGGGAATTTTGGATTCATGCATCAGTTTATGGTGAATCCAAATCAATGTCTTGAATCCTTTGAAAACAGGCACTGGGACATCACAGGCTTCAGTACCTGACCAGTATTAGTTGTATACATCATTGAACATAATATACCAGAGACATTTTAGAAATGTCAGAAAGACATCCTTTTTGGACCATATGAAATAAAGACAAACACTAAACAATAAAACCATGAAATTGATCGCCAGGATTGCGAATCTAATTGGGAAAAGAGTTGAGCAAACAGCTTGGACTGTTTGGAGTTGTTGCCTTACTTTTTAATATGTATTTATAAAGTATTCCAGCAAAAGAGGATGTAGCCTCTGGAAAAAAAAACAAACATGTTACAGTGTTTTTTGTAGATTCTCGTTCTATATCTCATCACAGCGCCAGCCCTGTTTTTAGCCGGAAAGGATTCAGGATAAACATAATGCATTCTGAATTGGATGCATATTCCTAACTACTGTATTTGTTACCAAAAGTGGTTCTACAAATGCTACTGAAAAAAGCTGGAAATTCCTAATGTCCTGAGTATTAATAATAAAGTTTAAAAATGCTTTTATATCAAAGGTGCATCGTGACCAAATTGTTTGAGAAAAAAACAAAAAACAAAATCTAGGGCTGTATTATAGATAGATCTTATTGGCTCTCTGCTTTGTATTAAAAGAAGAATCTTACAACTTGGGTAGGTAAATTGCTGATAAAACTTGTGTACATCATGTACTTACCTAATGTGGTTGCATTATTATGTATGAAAAGATATGTTTTATGATTCGTTTCTAGGATGCTTTTGCTTTTTATGGACATGGCAGCAGTGAGTTGATAATCTTAAATCATCATTTCCAGCAGTGTTCATGATGCAGAGCTCATCCTCTGTTCATATGTTAAGTTGTGATAGTAGCAAACATGAACATATGAACTATTGTTGCTCTCAGTAGAAATACAGTATAAATATGGGCTTGTATATTTTCTTCCTTCCATTGAAATATAAAGTAGAATATACAGTTTTATTGTTTCTAAGAAAAAGGGAAAAAAATAGCCACTGACCTTTCTCCCCTATGAAATGTTTCCAGATTATTAGGTCATTGTGTGTACATAAAAGTCAGCTGATTATGAATATTATCATCTAGGTAATTGTAAAAAAAAAAGTGAATCAAAAACAAAATTTGGCATTGTTATTCCTAAAAACAAACAGCAGTAAAAAAAAAAAA